ATTTACTAGTAACTGTAGTTAATCTTCAATTTTTATACACACATCCACCAACACCTCTTCCTGGGTTATTCGTGGCAAATGTTTATTAATTCCAGGTAGCTTTCCCATGGGTGCATATCATATTAAAGACACTACTTAAAAAAATTTTTTTTTCTTATTTTGGAGACAGGGTCTTGCTCTGTTGCCCAGGCTGGAGTGCAGTGGCACTATCTTGGCTCACTGCAACCACCGCCTCCCAGGTTCAAGCAGTCCTTCTGCCTCAGCCTCCCAAGTAGGTGGGATTACAGGCATGTGCCACTATGCCTGGCTGATTTTTGTATTTTTAGTAGAGATGGGGTTTCACCATGTTGGCCAGGTTGGTCTTGAACTACTGACCTCAGTGATCTGCCTGCCTCAGCCTCCCAAAGTGCTGGGATGATGGCGTGAGTCACTGCGCCCAGCCAAGGACATTGCTTATTTAACAGTATCTTTTGTTTTGTGCACAAGTTAAATTAAGCTTCCACAGAGAAACTAAAAATGTGTAATTTTCTTAATAGAACGTGTATGATATATTTTGGGGGGAAAGGTTTGCAATAATCTGTGGTCTTTGTCTCCTCTTATTAGTATAATTGAAAAAATTTTAAATCATTTCTTTACATTACCACCAATTACATTTGAATCTTCTCTATTTTTCTTTTGTCATTGGAATTTTCTTGGAAACAATAAGAAGTAAAAGAGTTGAATGCATTATGATAAAATATGGATCAGTTGGTGTCCTCCTTTTAATTTTTAAATCTTTTCTCAAGCCATTAACACCAGAGTCAACATAAATACCTTTAAGATTAAGTCAAATTTGCCCGTTCAGGAACCTGTCAGCCCTGCTTTTTCAGGTTGCCAGGGAAGAGTTGTGAAAGGCAATCCAAGCTCTCATCTACCTGGCCTGCCTTTACCGCTTCCCCCATCCTTCAGATCTTGGGAGTAAGGAAACAGCCACATTATAGCAAATACCTATTTGTTTGTTATTTATTTCACTCTTGCCCATCTTAGTTGATAAATTCTCTTTTTATTTTTGATAATGCTCTCCTCCTCACACCCAGTTGAGATTAGACAATTCATGGGGGTGGGAGGAAAAGAATGATTAAGATTTTTAGTGAGCTTTACATTTGTAAAAGGGATTAGAGAAGGAGTACTAATGATATTTGAGAAAAGTATGTGTATGTGAGGCATTGTGCTAGATAACCTCAAAGAAACATGTTTAGTTAGTATGATATAACTTGTAAAAGAATCAGAGTGTTTATCATTTGGGGAGGGGGCTAGTTTCCTTAGAATAGTGAAGGAGAGGCTGGGTGCAGTGGCTCACGCCTGTAATCTCAGCACATTGGGAGGCCCAGCGGGCAGATCATGAGGTCAAGAGATTGAGACCATCTTGGCCAACATGGTGAAACCCTGTCTCTACTAAAAATACAAAAATTAGCTGGGTGTGGGGGCATGCGCCGGAGGCTGAGGCAGGAGAATCCCTTGAACCCGGGAGGCAGAGTTTGCAGTGAGCCGAGAACGCACTACTGACCTCCAGCCTGGCAACAGAGCGAGATTGTCTCAAAAAAAAAAAAAAAAGGAATAGTGAAGGAGAGAAGAGTTAGCAGTGAATAGGGAGAATATCAGGAGGAAAGAACTTTATGTGGTCATGAAAACCTAAGGCTCAGCATTTGAAAATTACTGACTTAGGAGAAAACAGGCGTAAATAAAAAATAAAAAATGTTGGCCCTAGATTTTGATATCTGTGTGTTATAGAAAAGGCTCTGCTATTTACCTGGAAGTGTTAGAGTTGTGTGAAAAAGGTGGCAAGATTGAGTAGCTTAGGGCATGTGGCATGGAGGCTGTATGCTGGAGTTTCGGCTTTAATGATTTGTATTTTCTGGGTTTTGGCATTAATGATTTATATTTTCACTCCCCAAATATTTTTCAAGTAACTACTTCATGCCAGGTCTTGTTGTAGACGGTGGAGATACAACAACAAAAACACAGATCTTGCCCTTGTGAAGCTTAAATTGTTGAGGCAGATGGTGATAAATAAATACATAAAATGTTGGGAAGGAAAATAAGAGGGTTTGAGAGGGTGGAATGGGGAAGAAAGGATTCACTGATTAGATGCCATTCGAGCTAAGACCTGAAAAGGTGATACCTAAGGTGAGGAAAAGAGCTTTCTAGATGGAGGGAACAGCTGGGGGAAGGGAGCATGCTTGGAATGTTTAAGGAAAAACAAGGAGGCAAAAGTCGCTAGAGTGGAGGAAGAGAATGAAGAAGTCATGTCAGACAGGGTAAGAACTTTGGCCTTATACCTCAGCAAGATGAGCAGCCATCAGAATGTTTTGAGCAAAAGAGGGACACCATCTTTAAAAGGGACCCTTTGCAATGATTCAGAATAGACTTGGAGGGATGACAAGAGTAGAAGCAGAAGGGGGACTAATTAGGAGGTGACTTTAATAAATCCAGGCAGAAGTTGAACTAAGGTGGAAGTGACAAGATATGTGAATGTGTATTTTGATACATATTCAAAATAATACAAAATACAGAATTCTGAATAGAGCCAACAAAATGTGCTAAAGGATAGAATGTGGGGTTTGAAAAAAAGGGGAGTCAAAAATGACTCAGAAGTATTTAGAGGGCCAGGTACAGGGTGGCTCAAAACCTGTAATTCCAGTTGTCTGGGAGGCTGAGGCAGGAGGATCACTTGAGCCCAGGAGTTCAAGACCAGCCTGGGCAACATGGCAAAACCCCATCTTCAGAAAAAAATTTTTTAAAAAATTAGCTGGGTGTGATGGTGTGCGCCTGTAGTCCCAGCTCCTTGGGAGGATCGTTTGGGGCTGGGAGGTTGAAGCTGCAGTGAGTCATGATCACTCCACTGTACTCCAGCTTGGACAACAGAAGGATACCTTTTCTCAGGGGAAAAAAAAAAAAAAAAGTACAGCCTGGGCAAAATGGTGAAGCCTCATCACTCTCTTTTTTTTGTTGTTGTTAAGATGGGGTTTCACCATGTTGGTCAGGCTGGTCTTGAACTCCCGACCTCAGGTGATCTGCCCACCCTGGCCTCCAAAGTGCTTGGATTACAGGTGTGACCCACCACGCCCGAAGCCTCATCTCTACAAAAAATACAGAAAATTAGCTGGGTGTGTTGGCACGCGTCTGTGGTCCCAGCTACTTGGGAGGCTGAGGTGGGAGGATTGCTTGAACCCTGGAGATCAAGGCTTCAGTGCACTATGATCGTGCCTCTGAACTCTAGCCTGGGCACCATTGTGAGGCCCTGTCTCAGAAAAAGACAAACAAACAAAAATATGTGTATAGAGGGAGACTGAGCAGCCTCAAAAGACAGCTGAGAAGATTTACTGAACTTTTTAATGGAAAACATAAATACTTAACATAAGTTTGCCTTTATTATTGTGACTATTATTTCTAACAAAGCTTACTATGCGTTTTATGCCTAAAATACATATTTACCGTAATTTTGATTTCTCAGAGTCTTAGTTTCCTCATGTGTAAGATAAGGATAATAAATTACCTTGTGAGAATTAAATTAAGATAATTTAAAGTACTTAGCAGAGGCATGGTTCATAACACCAAGTTAAGTGCTTAATAAATAAGTGGTTGCAGATGCATGATGCTTAACTTTTGCTCTTGGTTATCTCCTCATCCCCAGAGAAAAGCATAATCTTCAGTCATGAACTTTTCTGAGGCCAGAGCACACAAGTGCCATCCTGAGGCCATGCATTGTCATATTCTGTGTCTGACCTGGCTCTAAGAGATTTAATGGGAGTGAATAGTTGCCTTCACTGTCAACCTCAGAACATTGAGGATATACTTCAAGTGTATTTGCTTTCCTTAATAACCCAGTAGGTATCTGTTACCTTGGAATTCATAAAAACTTCTGTATATGTTTATCTTAACTTTGCAGTACATCTTGGGTAGCAAATTGTATAAATTTACTAACCACATTATGAAATGAATCCTAGATTTTATTTGGCCCTTTAAACCTCTTTCGTTACATTTTGAGCAGGTGAACTCCATTGTGGTATGGTATAATTTTGTCAGCAGGTTCATTTTTCATTGTACTCAAATTCTTGATAATTTAATAATCTTCATATTTTAGAAAGCTTATAGAGGCTTTAATCTTTTAAAACATATCCTATTATTTGTCTCTTCAGTTCAGTGTTTCTCAACCTTAGCTATGCTCTTAGAATAATCAGAGGTAACACTTAAAAATACCAATTCCCTAGCCAAGCTCGGTGGCTCACGCCTGTAATCCTAGCACTTTGGGAGGCTGAGGCGGGTGGGTTACCCGAGCTCAGGAGTTTGAGACCAGCCTGGGCAACATGGTGAAATCCTGCCTCTACTAAAATACAAAAGAAATTAGCCGGGCGTCGGGGCGTGCACCTGTAGTCCCAGCCACTCAGGAGGCTGAGGCAGAATTGCTTGAACTTAGGAGGCAGAGGTTGCAGTGAGCCAAGATTGTGCCACTGTCCTCCAGACTGGGCAACACAGCAAGACTCTATCTCTACAAAAAAATAAAAAATAAAAAAATACCAATTCCCTGGGCTTTACCCCAGATCAATTACATCAGAATCTTAGGTGTTAGTATTAGGACCCCTAGCATTAGTAGTTTTTGAGCTCCCCAGTATGTAGCAAGGATTTGGAACCACTGCTTTAGTTGTTTTTTCATATCTATAAAAGTTTGATGATTTCAACACTTTTATTAGTATTCCATATATGGATGGCTTTTTATAGAATTTGGGATATAATTTCTTTTTCCATTGTTCTTTCTGATGATAGCTAGCATTTTATTTTTAGGCAGGAGAATATTATAATTTGAATCACCTCCTTCTGACTGAGATGTAATGACAGAGTAATCTTTGAGCTGGAATGAACTTTGGAAGTAATCAGCTCAATTAGGTAAAGTGAGGTTCAGAGAGAGGCTGAATGACCAAGAATGAAATAGGTTTTGTACAAGCTGGGTCACTTACATCCCCAGATATCTTTACTGTTTTATTTTTTCATATTTTTTGTCTAGGGGCCATGCTAATCTTCTGTATCATTCCAATTTTAGTGTATGTACTGCCACAGCCAGCAAGCACTCTTTAGTTTTTTTAAAGCCCTTTCAGATACAATATATCATTTAACCTCTACAACCTTCTGAGGTAAGCAGAGCCACACTGATGCTTTTTTTAAAAAATAACAGACAGAAAGATTTTACCATGTTTTACTGATTTCTAGCTTATTTTATTGGTTACATTTAAGATTTTCTCTGTCTTTGGTGTTCTGTAGTTTCATTATGATGTGGCACAGTATAGATTTTTTTTAATGTTGTTTGGGACTTCATTAGACTCCTTGAACTTGTGGATTGGCTTCTCATTAGTTCTGCTGATTTCTTAGTTGCTATCTTGTTAGGTTTGTCCTCGATTGCATTTTCCTTTCTTCTCCTTTTGGATTTCTGATTATATGATCTTAGAGCTTCTCCATTATCTGCTGTATATTTTCCATCTTTTTATCTCTCCATGCTTTATTCTTGATAATTATTCTGACTTACTTTCCAGTCTGTGAATTACCTTCCAATCCATTAATTTTCTCTTCAGTTGAGTCTAATTTGTTAAAACCATCTGCTGAATTTTTAGTTTTGGTTATTGTTGAAGTTCATTTTGGTCCCTTTTCAAATCTGCTGGGTCATTTCTTAAAAACATATTGTTCTGTTCTCAGCAGATATTTTCAGTGTCATCTTTAATTCTTTAAATGTAGTAAGTAGTTATTTTTTAGTGTTTCTGCACTTCCTTTGAGGTCTTACAGGTACCTTTGTGTGTTCTGTTATTTCTGCTGGTTCTTGCTCATGATGACTTGTTCTCTTGTGTCCTTAGTTTATCTTTGTGTGCTGCCTACCGTTCTTGAAATACTATAAGACTGGCTGAGCGGGGTGGCTCATGCTTGTAATGCCAGCCCTTTGGGAGGCTGAGGTGGGAGGATCACCTTAGTGATGCGGAGTTCAAGACTAACCTGCCCAACATGCTGAAACCCCTTCTCTACTAAAAATACAAAAATTAGCTGGGCATGGTGGTGGGTGCCTGTAATCCCAGCTACTTGGGAGGCTGAGGCAGGAGAATCACCTGAACATGGGAGACGGAGGTTGTAGTGAGCTGAGATCCCACCACTGCAATCCAGCTTGGGCAACAGACTCGTCTAAAAAAAAAAAAAAAGAAAGAAAGAAAGTGGGGAGGGCTGGGTGTGGTGGTTCACACCTGTAATCCCAGCACTTTGGGAGGCTGAGGCGGGCGGATCATGAGGTCAGGAGATCAAGACCATCCTGGCCAACATGGTAAAGTCCTGTCTCTACTAAAATACAAAAAATTAGCTGGGTATGGTGGCTGGCTCCTGTAGTCCCAGCTACTCAGGAGGCTGAGGCAGGAGAATCGCTTGAACCTGCAAGGTGTAGGTTGCAGTGAGCTAAGATCACGCCATGGCACTCCAGCCTGGCAACAGAGACTCTGTCTCAAAAAAAAGAAGAAAAGAAAAAAGAGAAACTGTGAGACTAATCTGAGCTCTCAAATAAAGGTATCTTCTTTAGAAAAGGGTTTTTTTTGTTTGTTTGTTTTTTTGCATTTGCTTCTGGTAGATGTCTAGAGGCATTACCAGTCTAGAACCACTTTATTTTTTATCTTTTTTTGAGATTGTCTTACTCTGTCATCCAGGCTGGAGTGCAGTGGTGTGATCTTGGCTTACTGCAACCTCTGCCTTCTAGGTTCAAACGATTCTCGTGCTTCAGCCTACGGAGTAGCTTTGACTACAGGTGTGCACCATCACACCTAGCTTATTTTTTTTTTAATTTTTATTTTTTGAGATGGGCATTCCCTCTGTCACCCAGTGTAATCTCGGCTCACTGCAACCTCTGCTTACTGGGATCAAGCAATTCTGCCTCAGCCTCCTGAGTAGCTGGGACTACAGGTGCCTGCCACCATCCCTGTTTACTTTTGTATTTTTAGGAGAGACGGGGTTTCACCATAATGGCCAGTCTGGTCTTGAACTACTGACCTTGTGATCCACCCGCCTTGGCCTTCCAAAGTGCTGGGATTACAGGTGTGAGCCACTGTGCCTGGTCAGTGCCTGGCTAATTTTTGTGTTTTTAGTAGAGGCGGGGTTTTGCTATGTTGGCCAGGCTGGTCTTGAACTCCTGGCCTCAAGTGATCTGCCTGCCTCAGCCTCCTAAAATGGTGGGATTACAGACATGAGCCACCACACCTGGCCCAGAATGACTTTAAAGTAAATGCCTTCCTTAAGGTGTTTGGGCCACCCAGCTGATGTGAATTTTGGTTGTGAATACATTTGAGGTCCAGTATACTTCTGTTTCATCTTTGTTTTGAAGACATAAGCCCTTTAGGGTCTTAGCTAAATGTGAGGGTATATCACTTGTTAGATGTCTGCTCTGGATGGGTGGAGTGTTTAATTTTTGCTTGTTGGGTCCTGCAAGGCTGTTTATTCTGATTGGCCAATATCCTAAGGGCAAAAATGGCTTTGTGCTCCCTTACCTCACTGGGTTCCCATTTTCCCTATTATTTTGGCCAGATAATTCCTTGCTATGTTTGTGTTGCTTTTAATAAAATTGTGAAAATATTTTGTCCAGAAGTTTTGGCTGTGTTCAGTAGAATTGCTATGGGGCACGATAACTGGAAACTGAATTCTCTTATTTTACTTTCAAAATCTGACAAATGGGAATGGCCCTACTAATTATTTGGGGAGAAATAATGTTGACAGTACTCCTTTATCAAGAGATGTGCTTATTTAGTCCTGAACTTTATTTCTAAATCTACTTTTCTTTGAATGATAAAGGGAGACCTACAGTTTTTCTCCAAAATCTTGATAACTGAAGCAGAGTTTAAAACAAAACGCTTTGCTATGCAGTCTTTGAAAGGTGTTTGAAAGTTCAGATGCTCTAGATAGAGTCCCCTTTGCCAGCCTACTGTCTTCTTGAAGTCAGCTATACTTTTGAGTAGCATTGAGGTTTAGATTCCGGGCCATTACAGATAAAATTGTCCTTGGATCTCTGGAATTTCTTGGCTCAGTGGCCAATTTGACAAAACAGTCTATTGACTGTCTTAATTGGGCAGTGGGAAGTATGGCTGTCAGAGTCAGACATCTCTGTCACTTTCAGTTTAAAATTTTTCTAGGCCTCATTTTTGTACAATGTGGTGGGTGATAATATCCCTACTAAGCAGGATTGTTGTAAGATTTAAAAAAAGATAAAGTATGCAAAATATGTGGTACATGATGGGTGTCCAATAAGTGGTTTGCTTTTTTGTTGGTTGAGATTTCTATGGACAGAAGGCATTAATTTATTATTTATTTGAGTCTTATTGTAGAGGCCAAGAACCAGTTTCAGTGATCCATTTGTCACAGTAGCTACTTACATTCTCTTTGCCCTGTAAGTACAGGTTGAGCATCCATAATCCAAAAATCCTAAATTCAAAATGCCTCAAAATCTAAAACTTTTTGAGTGCTGCTGATATGATGTCACAAATGGAAAAATTCATACCTGACCTCATGTGGCAGGCAGTAGTCAAAAAGCAGGTGCACAACATAGTTTAGTATCCCATAGGGAAAAATAAAATTACCTTTAAACTCTATGTATAAGGTGTATATGAAACATAAGTGAATTTTGTGTTTAGACTTTGGTCTCATTCCCAAGGTATCTCATTAGGCATGTTCAAATCTTCCAAACTCTGAAATCCAAAATACTTCTGGTCCCAAGCATTTCATATAAGGTGTAGATAGCTTATAGATACTAAGGACTGGAGATAGTAATTGAGGAAGATTTGGAGTTCAGGAGAGAAGCTTGAGGCAAGAGAGAAATTGAGGAAGGGGTAGAAGGGGAAAAGAAGCAGAAGAGGGGAGTAGAGGGGTGGAAAGAGCAGAGGCAGAGGAGAAACTGCACGCATTAACCTGTTCTTAACTCTTCAAGGATTTCTTATCTGTATTTTTCATTTTGGCACTTATAACTGTAGAATTCTAGGGCTGACGGGAATACACACACGTACACATGCATATATGCACACATATGCACTGCCCTCCTCCCTCTAATGAAGTCTAATGAAGGAAGAAGATTTTCTTCTTCCTTCATTAGACTATGAATATTTTACCTCAGAGGGACCTTAGAATTTAAGTAATCTCATTCCTGTTTCATCAGTTAGGGCTAGAGAAATGAAGTGACTTTTCTCAGGTCACTATGAATTAGTTTAATCTTAGTTTAGAACCCAGGAGTCCTGGTACCCAGGCCAGGGCGTTGCTCTGTATACTGTATCCTCTCCTTTTGGTCCCTCCCTCTGTGTAGCTGCTTCTGACTTGAAGGAGCCAAGTGAATTTTAACATTTAGATGATTAAGTATGAAAAGCTGTCATAATTTAAATTCTTACTATTATTTCAAGTTTTTCTTGAAGTAGAATAATTGAGTGAAACAATAGAGTAAGGGGTTAAGAAAAATCTTTAACAATTTGTGTTTCTCAAAAGTCTTTAACAATATAGTTCTCTGATTTCTTTAAATAATTTTATTTTTGTGTAGGGAATACTGAAATAAAATCCTTATTTCATCTTAAAAAAATCTGCAGCCTCTTGGGTTTAAGCAGTTCTCCTGCCTCAGTCTCTCAAGTAGCTGGGATTACAGACACCCACCACCACACCCAGCTAATTTTTTGTATTTTTAGTAGAGACGGGTTTTGCCATGTTGGCCAGCGTGGTCTTCACCTCCTGGCTTCAAGTGATCCACCTGCCTCAGCCTCCCAAAGTGCTGGGATTACAGGCATGAGCCACCACACCAGGCCAAATTTGGAGCTTTTTTAGCTTGCTTTGAAGGTAGCTTAACTAAGTTTTATATATACATTTTGATATAGTGTGTGTTTATTGATGGTATATCAAATTGTATAGTGCTTTGAGCTTTAGGTTATTTTTAATTTTTATTTTAAAGAGATTGGGTCTGTCTTGCCATGCTGACCAGGCTGGAGTGCAGTGGCTATTCATAAGCATACTTATAGTTCACTGTAGCTTCAAACTCCTGGGCTCTGTTGATCCTCCTGCTTCAGCCTCCAGAATAGCTGGGATT